AGAAACTTTGTGCAAAATATGGTAAATTGAAAATAATATCAACATATTCCATGCCACTGGTGAGTGGAAACACATTTATGTATGGCCTACTAATAAAAGCAACATTAAGAACAAAATTTAGAAGCGGCCCATGACCAATGAAGTAAACTTCATGTATTGGGTGTGCAGTGTTCACAAATGGTGTTTCAAAGTCACAGGACATTGGGTCCTGTAAGTTTCAGATGTCTGTCTGACCAATTGAAAATGCACAGGACCCATGGAATAAAATTAAACACACATTTCAGATTTAATATTTCTTATAATTGACATTGAAATTATTAACAAACATAAGATTTATAAACAGCAAACAAGTGTCACATGTCACATAAAACAACTTCAGTCAAAGTCATTGTGAAATATACAGTCAGACACTGGGGCCGGCGGGTTGTAGACTTCTGTCTGACCGTTGGCGAATCTGCCGCATTTGTCAGACGGTCAGACGCTATTCGTGAACACTGGGTTTGTAAATTACCCTTATTTTCTCCCAGGAGTGTACATCATATATTACTCATGACACTTATCATATCGAGTGAGTGAGTAAGTGATTTATAACGCTGCTTTTAGCAATATTCCAGCAATATCATGAGAGTGGACACCAGAAATGGGCTTCACACATTGTACCCATGTGGGAAATCGAACCCGGGTCTTCGGCGTGATGAGCCAACGCTTTAACCACTAGGCTACCCAACAGCCCCACTAATTTCATATTGATAATCGTTAATAATTCTCCTATCAACAGTATTTACGATGAACAATTTTTCAGTCAGCTCTAACCTGACATCTTATCTTGTGTTTGTAACGGTGCTTCTGTGTACAGTGGGCTGATGAGTCAGTGTCCTTGAAAAAAATGACCCTCCTTATCTCTGCAATATAGGTCCCTTGACTAGACTAAGGCTTAGTCTCTGAATATGTACAGCTTGAGAGAAACAAATAATTCCTTTTAAATTGAAAGGTTGTGAGTGAGTGATTGAGTTTAGTTTTATGCCGCTGTTAGCAATATTCCAGCAATATCACGGCGGGAGACAACAGAAATGGGCTTCACACATTGTATCCATGTGGAGAATCGAACCAGGTGTTCAGCGTGACGAGCGAACACTCTAACCACTAGGCTACCCCACCTCCCCAGATTGAAAGGGAGCCCCAGTGACGTGAACCTGAGGAAATCAAGACTTGCTTCATTTTAGGGTTCAGTATTGCAGAAAGGGCTGGGCAGAAAGGAAAATAATACAGTTCAGGGACTGTGAGACAGACTACTTCCGGCCATGTGTGGCTGGAAGGGGACCAACTAAGTGATCAGGGATTGCCCCGACAAATCTTGTATATTGGATGCAATCTGTGTTGAAAATACTCAGGTACATTTTGCTGCTGGGTTGTTTTGCTAAAAACGACAGGTGAACAGATTGATAGGTAACATAAACATAATGTACTGACTCTTGAATACCAATACATTTGTGTCAATATATTTCCTGTTAAATACATTCAGTCCTCCAATCTTGCTGAGTCATCACTTTTTGTTTCGTTTGGAAACCTGTCCTTAAAACATAGAGTAGCAGTAGAGTAACATGTCAGTCATGTTTATTCTGATTGGCTGTCAGTTTTCTGTAAACCAATCAGACTATGTTAAGAGAAAACTATGTGCTTACTTTAAGAATTATGCATGTATATTAGTAATCTGTAAGTTAGTGCAGTATCACATACTGACATGGTATGATTGATAATTAACTGCTTCTGAATCAGAAAATAAATTTCCTCATATACACTGTTGTTGTTTTTAAAGGACTTTTTCATGTGCATGACCCCCTTGACGAGCAAGGAGTCAAGAATATTCCAATATTGGGTTGGGTTGGATGGTTCTAATGCTGCACTCAGGTATATTCCAGCTATATGGTGGCAGTCTGTAATTAATTGAGTTTGGACCAGATAACCCAGTGATCAACATCATGAGCATCAATCTACACAATTGGGATATGTCAACCAAGCCAGAGAGCCTGACCACCCGACCCTGTCAGTCACCTATTATGACAAGCATAGGCTGCTGAAGACCAAATCTTATCAGGATCTTCACAGGTAGTCCCATATTGGGAGTTTAGGACAAGCACTGAGTGATGATCCCTTGATTAACAGAGTTTCAAAATCTATAATCCCTCCCTTCTGACACTACCACAAAGAGGTGAGGTAACATGGGGCTTTATGTCATGATCAAAATTCCTCTCATATACCAATATGTATATACTGCTTATAGTAGTCCAGCCTGCTGAGACATACTATACCAAAGGTACACATAAGCTTAGTATCTGAGTAAATTACGCAAATATTTATGTGAAAACTCAATTCATATTAGGTCTATTGCATACAAGTACGCTTGAATTTGTGTAAATACTCAAGAAAATGATCTTGCATGCGTACACACAAAAGTGTCAATCTTAGCCTGCATACCAGTGGATAGATAAAATAACTGAGGTATATTGAGAGGTTCTAAATCAACACATGAACTTGAGATGAACACAATCGAGTACATAACTCAATGACCCAAAAAGTTATCTGTAGCTCTGCCATACTGACTCTCTGAACCAACCAGTCCTTATTTTATCACATTAATACCAAACATCAGACAGGGCAACAAGAAGTAATAATTGTTTGTTTGTCAATCTAGAATTAGGTCAGTGAATAAGGAAACATACATATACCCAGTGTAGGAAAGATGTAGAAAATCTAGCCTGTCCACAGGACTGGCAGGTCAAATTTTTACCAGTCCTGCCAAAATCTAGCCTGTCCTCCAAATATAAATAAAACACCTTCGGCTGTAAATATTCAAAAAGGTTATAATCATTATATATATGTCATTGGTTTGCTAAAATTGACCCGACATGAGGACGGACTAGATATTTTTTTAACCCGTCCTCCACAAAATTCACCCGTCTCGGACGTTGGGACGAGCTATCTTTCCTACACTGATATACCTCTCTTGATACTCATTGTTTGTCGTAGCCATTTCCCCTTGATAACAGTGTAAAAATCTACATAACAAAATACAATAAACAAATTGTTATCCATAAAGTCATATGTTTCCTTTAGCAGCTAAAACTGTTAACACAAATGTTTAGGATGGATGTTCCCTGACAAGTATCTCCAAATTGTAAGGCTAAAGAGAAGAGAATCATAGCGTTGTGTGGAAACATCAGTATTGGTTTCCACAAACATTTGGTGTGCATGGGAAAAGTTTGTCTGCCAGACTGCCGACACATCATTATTTCAGGGTGGGGTCTTATAACACCAATCGTGTTCAATCCATTACAGAACTGCCATTATGATTGCAGATGATCATTTTTTATTCTTATATCATTCAACAGAAATTGCTTTTAATATGTTTAATTAGTCATAAAGAGTTAATTGCTCTTATTTAAGCTAACGAGCATTGTTTATTGTCCTGATTGGTTGTGATTGGTAACAGTGTTAATGACTGCAAGAATCACGTACACAGGATCTGGAACTTTTATATGATTCCTGTAACAGTCAAATAAGAAAATATAGTTGATCATTTATCAACTTTAAACATATTTACACGGGGATGTTTTATTTTTTTTTAAATATGCTAAAAATCATTTAATTGTTCAACATGCCATGGTTAACATGATTAAAACATACTAAACTGAGTTTACCTGTAACAAAAGAATAGAATACATGGGTCAATACTTTCTTTATATTTGTACTTTGATCCTCTGTGGAGCCCTAGTTGACAACCTTCTGTCTACTTCTGTGATCTGATTGTACCTTTTCAGTTTGCAATCCCCAGTTATGGAAACCTCCACCTTCTGAACTACTAAACACACTAAATCTCATTCAAGTCTCTCCTCAACACTCCCCTCTTCTACTCAGTATGTCACTAGACTTTCAGTTTCATGAAAGTTTGTGTATATATGCACTGACTTGCTTTTAACTTTGTCACAGCGCCAGTGAGCACATGTCGATGGATATTAGGCACTTAAGAAATCATTTATTGTTGTTATTACTTGGATGGAAAGGTTGTAAATCCAAGTTATTGGTATAAACATGACACATAACTTCACACAATTAATACATGATCATTCATACTGATGACAATTTGACAACTGAGCTAACATTGACTTGAGCACAAATCCATTCGGGAAATATTTTGTCTGAGACTTGAGAGTTGGCGGTGAAGATTAGCTTTATATAAATAAATAAGAAAATCCTTACTCATGTGAGTCATCTGAACTATAATGTAAAATACTGCTTAATATTTGATCACATGAATATGAGCTCCATGGAATGTCAAGCCTAACCTATAACCTATATATGGATAAGACTGATTAATTCTGTAAAATGATTACTTTCTAGATTTTTTAAAGTAACATCAGAGTGCATAAATATGTCCATCCCCCTAAATCTAACCAATACAAGAATGCAAGACAACATCCCACATCAGCTGATCAGGGAAAAGCATTAGCAGCCTCTTACAGCATGCTGTGCTTCATACATCAACTACAGAAAAGGATGCTCTACTTATGAAATAATCTGTTTTGACCCCTGGATTTTACACAATATAAAAAATAACACTTTTTGTTCACAATGGATATTTAAGATCAGTTGATGATAGGACAACTGAGTGAACAGCAGACAATATAACCAGCATTTCCGTTCACCCACACTATCCTTCCTAACCCCAAACTGACAACCGGCATGAAACGCAGATTATTTTGACACTTTCGCCACATATAGGAGAATAGACCAATAATCTTAAAACCATTGCACGTTAACAAGAAGACCGTAGATACTGATGAGTTCTGTTGCCGGCAAAAGCTATCGCTCTCACTGGTTGCAAAGGGTACTTCCTTCTTATTTCACTTTTTCGTGCCCACTGTTTACATATTACGACTCGTCATACAACAGATCTAGATAAGTAATTGCATTCTAATGAAATAAGTCCGACAAACATTTACCAGATGTTTCGTTAAGGGCTCAAAGCAAGGTAGTATCCTCCTCCTCTGCTCCTCAATGGGACCTACAATTTGAGACTATCTTCAGTATCGCTTCGCCAGCTTGACAGCTTCCATGGCGCATGTGTTCCTAGGGGGCGCTGCTAGTCAACTTCCGGGTTTTTCCCTGCGAGTTTTGGCAAATTGTTTCATGATCAAGAACGTGACAGGAAAAGCATTTAACCTAATTTGTGCTGTTATTACAGCTTGTTTGTGCAAAGATATATGCTTTTTAGTTCATGTACGTGCCAGTGTAAGGACATGGAAGGGATCACAGAGGTAACAAATGACAAATCTGAGGACGTTTCTGACTGGTTTCATTGATCAAACACACCCATTTCTTCCATCTCTATTTTCCTCGAGAGAAATTGTTTAGGTTTACAAGTGCACTGACTAAATAGTTAAAAAATGTTTCAAATCGGATCTGGAAATTAATAAAGTCTTTCGTAATTGTTTTCCACTATGTCCATCCACAAACACATGAAACCACCATATACCCCTTCATGCAGATATTGTGTTGCTATCTACTTTCTACAAAACAACGCCCATCCTCCCCCAAAATATATATACAAATAACGTCAGAGAGAATGTGTTCTAGACAAATAACCAAGATATTCTATAGACAAATGATCACCCCGAGAGCAAGATGCAGTCTTATGTAGGATACTTATGTATCAAGATTTAGTATGTAACATCACACGAATCCTGCTAATCCTTCCTATATGTCCGTATCGGTAAATATATTGTATATTCAAGCGGGTGTTTTTTTAAATTTATTTATAAAAAAAAAAATTCAATTTGTTATGATTTCGCACACGTTATTAGACTAAGTGCGTGCCACTGTTATTTGGCTGACGATGGAGCCGTCCACGTTGCAATTTTGGTCATATATGAGGTCACGGTTTATTTGCACAGTAACGTAAAGATGGCCCACTACTGTATCCATATGTTCAGCTCTGGAGCGTGACTGAGCGGGCGCCTCACGAGTCAGCTGATGATATATTCACATACAATGTGCTGACAATGTCGACAAAACTATGGCAGATGGAGAGAAAATCGAACACTAAGCTGCGAAGTGAACGCTATGGAAGTGGCCTTATACTCTGACCTTCCTTGCAAGTGCTGCCATATAGGTAGAATATTGCTGAGTGCGGTGTAAAACTAAACTTACTCACTCACTCACCTTGCAGTTCCTTTTCTTGCACTGTCGAGTACAACATCTATTTAAATGACGCCATAATGACGTAATCATTGTGGGTAAACCCTGCTATATTTCAGTTAACTCACGGCACAGCAAGCTTCGAATGCTCCTTTAAAAGTTTCCCACTTGAAATCAACGAGCACGGGTATGATGTTGACAAAGAATGGATCATTATCAGAGTCGGTGGTGTTCGAGTGAGTGAGTGAGTTGGGTTTTACCCCGCTTTTAGCAATAGTCCAGCAATATCACGGCGGGGACACCAGAAATGGCCATGTGGGGAAGCGAACCCGGGTCTTCAGCGTGACGAGCGAACCACTAGGTTACACCCCCACCCCCGAATGTGTTCGAAGCCATGGAGACAGCACGAGCATGGAACAGTACCTCCTTGTACAGCGAATTCCAGCGACAGAGGCATTCGTACACACACACACACACGCACACACGCACACGCACACACACACACACACACACACACAATGAAACCCGCTTGCCATGCATTCGTCTATCCTCCAGACCCAGAGGATAAATAAATAAAACAAGGCCCCACTCAAGTATAGAATGACTGGGCAAGTCCAGATTGCCTCAAACTCTTGTCTAATATCATGAATTATTCCAGCTCCTTTTTGGTTTTCATATGTTTCTTTGCAGATATGTATTTTAAGATTTTAACACTTCATTTTGGAGACTAACTGTCAGTCTAGCCCAAAGTAGTTTGGAATGCTGTTAGTAACACTTTTATTAACTCACTTCTCACTACAGATATCAAGGGTAACCCATTTTCTCAGGATGTTACTTTTATGTACGCCTCCGGCCTGTTCATACTGGATGTATGAGATCATCATTACGGAAGAAATGGACAAAGATTAATAATGTTAATGAAATGATAATTCATTTTCCAAATGTAGTTAGAGACTCGCGAAACTATGGACGGGGATCATCATCAAAACATTAAACGTTTACATCACAAAGGACTAAAGCTTAGTCTACTAACTCCATTACAATTGCTTGATTTAGGACGCTTGTAAAACAGACAGTGTTGGGCTGAAGGGGAAATAATCTGTTCGGGGACTGTGAGATAGTCTAACATCATCACTGAAGTCTTCGTGTCTTCAGCTTTGTGTCGCCCAGGGAGAACTTCAGATGATGACTGATCACGCGACGAATGAGTGAGTGAGTTTAGTTTTACGCCGCACTCAGCAATATTCAAGCTATTAATAATAGAATCTGGACCAGATAATCCAGTGATCAACAGCATGCATGAGCATCGATCTACGCAATTGGGATACGATATGTGTCAACCAAGTCAGCGGGCCTGACCACCCGCTTAATAGTGGCCTCTTACGACAAGCATGAGTTACTGAACACAATGAGACTGACAGGGAAGCCGATATTATAAGCATATATACGTTCCTGGGCCCGTTTCACAAAGCGATCTTAGAGAACTACGATTGTCGCAATTCTGTGTAAACTTATTGGAGTTACACTTGGCTTATCGCCGAGACTGCTTTGTGGAAAAATACCCAGGCCGAAAAATACTCAGTTCGGATTAGACTATTGCATTTAGTCCCAGATATTAAGCAGTATCCCCCCAAAAAAAACATAACCCAGAAGGCGCCAAAACAATTCCCAATTTCGAGCAGACTTGCCGAGTCATTCTATACATAAGTTCGACTCCTTTTATTTGCTCTTTAGGTGACAGAGAATGTCTTCGCTAAATGTTTCCAAAGATGTTAAGTCAATAAATGTTCTGTCTGCGAACATTTTTGCAACACAGCGACTGATAGTTGACGGAATTCATACTCTTCTAATGGCATTGCTCCCGTGAAGATCCGGATTAGGAGCGGTCTTCAACATTCCATGCTTGTAAAGACGACTAACGGGATCGGTGGTCAGACGCGTTGGTTTGGTTCATGCACGCCCTCGTATCCCAAATGCGTAGATCCCGATGCTCATGTTAATCACTGGATTGTCTGTTAAAGACTCAAATATTTACAGACTGAGTTTTGGTTTTTACGCCGCTTTTAGCAATATTCCAGCAACATCACGGCGGGGGACACCAGAAATGGGCTTCACACATTGTACCAATGTGGGGATTCGAACCCGGGTCTTCGGCGTGACGAGCCAATGCTTTAACCACTAGGCTACCCCACCGCCCCCAAATATTTACAGACTGCTGCCATATATCTGGGATATTGCTGAGTGTGGCGTTAAACAACAAACAAAGCATAGTAATCAATAATCACATCATCATCAGTTATTTCAAGAATCTAACTGGATTTTAACAAAGTCACAAGTGAAAACAAATGTTCATAACTGGCTAAATACATTAAACATCACTGAATGATAATGTTTTTGAAAATTATCTTTGAACCTGCTCTGAAGGCACACTAGCAGTTTTTTTTTTCAATAATGCAGTTTTTTTTATTGCCATTGGCATTCTATCACAGGTTATTTCGAACCAAGAACCCTTATGGTATATTTCAAGATGAAACATATTCATAAATTATGCAATACAGTAAAAGCAGTACATTATGAACATAAACTCTTTCCATATATTCGGTATTACAATGGAGAAAATAAGCTTAATGTGTTCAAGAACAAAAGGCATAGATTTTATTTTCATTTTTTCAGAAAAAAATAATGTCTGTGTTTCTAAATTTCCAGGCCGGTATATTCCTGCCAAAAGGTAGATCAGTTTTAGGTGTTTATAGACTCATATGCACCACTTTTGTCTGTGTGAACCGGGGCGGCGGGGTAGCCTAGTGGTTAAGACGTTCGCTCGTCACGCCGAAGACCCGGGTTCGATTCCCCACATGGGCACAATGTGTGAAGCCCATTCTGGTGTCTCCCGCCGTGATATTGCTGGAATATTGCTAAAAGCGGCGTAAAACCATACTCACTCACTCACTCACTCTGTGTGAACCACAGAAACTATTCATGGGTTCTTCATGAAACCCTATAATTATAGCTACATAATCTGTTGCTTTTGACATTTGGAAGTTTCAATTTTTTTAAATATTTGGGACTTCAGTGAGCATGTTGGATTAAGCAGGTCTTATGTATTAGAGTATTTCAGCTATATCATGTGTCAGCCCCGCCCCCAATAAAGCAAAAAAACCCACAAACACACAAACAAACCAAACCAAGGAGACAAAACAACACACACTCAAAGTAAACAAACCAATTTACAGCTAATGCAGATCATTTAGGAGACAAACATATTGTGTTGGAAAATCAGAGGTATATACATGTATGTATAGTATGACCAGAAATTATTGAGAATTTTAGGAATATGTTTAATTGGATTTCTAGTATAAACAACCTTGACCAGCTATCAAGTGCTTGGTTTCATTCAAGAGAGACAACTCCGTTAATCCGTTTTCATTAGTTTGTGAAGAGTTATCCCCTTTGTTTACTTGCTAGCAGACGACATTTTCAGTGATCCTCAGTATGGATGATTTAGAGAAGAGGAAGTTGATTTTAGAGTATTATAACAAGGACATCAGATCAGCTAAAGTGATTTCAAGTAGAACAGGCATCCCTTTGTCCACTGTTTATCGTGTTTTGAAAAATATTGCAAATGGATATGGCATTGAGCACCAGGGAGGCGCAGGTAGGCCCAGAAAATTGACTGTCGGTGACAGGAGGCGGCTTGGTATTCTTGTTTCTAAAAACAAACGAAGGAGTTTAGAAAACTTAAGGACGGATATGGTTGATAGAGGAACTGTGGCTGTCTGTAAAGAGACAATTAGAACTGATCTGCATGCAATGGGTTGGCAGAAAAGTCGAGGAATTCCATCATCGATCATGAAATCTGAACAAAAGGAGCGAAGGTTGAACTGGTGCTTACAGCATAGAAATTTTAACTGGGACAA